CCTTTTGAACACTGTGTGGTATGGGCAGATAGAGCTAAATATCTTGCTGTCAACTAGTGTTGAAATTGCTCAAAACCCTTTCACTCAGAGTGAAGGGTCTCACAAACTGTGTCGAGGAAATTTTCATGTGAGTTTTTGCCACTTAAAAGGCAATATCTCTCTAATTTCGTGAGCACTCAAAAAGGCAGTTTTGAAAAGCGGAAGGTTTGCGCTTTCTAACAGTCTGTTTAGCTTCTTTCTACATTCTAGTTGAGGAGATATTTGCGTCGAGGATCTATCGAGGACGATTTCGGCCACTCAAAAAGTCGCTCCTTCTTCACCATTGCAAGTAATTCGTTGGCAACTCTCGAAATGTGTCTAGAATAAATTCTTCCAACGTAAGCGATAAGAAAAGGGGCAATCGTCATCTCGTCTCAGTATAGGCCATGCATCCGACCTCCACTCAAGTTGCAGAATCGATTGAAAGGTGTTATATGATGATGACCAGTTGACAGAAGCTGTATTGTAGTAAACACATTTCGTAACTCCTATAACCTAAGGAACAACTTCATTTGCCCAGGGCTTTTCCTTCACGGTTGTCGTTTTTGCGACAGGGTCCCTAACAACAGTGTCATTCTCAGCGAGGTATTAAGGGAGAAGGAGCGAGCGGTAGATAGAGGAGGTGCCTTTGCAGCGCGGGTACCCCCCAGGAGGCCCGTCGCGCGGCAAGAAGGCAAGTCAGCGGACGAGTCGCGCGCGTACTATAGGGATTTCGCGTCAAGTTAAATAGAGTGTCCATTGCACGTCCTACATCGCACACCACGCGCTGCGACTCGTCCGCCGACTCTGCCTTCTTGCCGCGCGACGGGCCTCCTGGGGGGTACCCTTGCAGCGCGTGCGCACATGTGGCGCCTTCCTTACGGGATGCACTTTCATTCTTTGTACTGCTTTCAAATACGTCCTTCTCATAAAGGTAGAGGAATGGAGCGACTGAACCTGCAAAGAATAATTTACATCATGTTTACTCACATGCCTTTGTTTTCTGCAGCGTCCCCCTCTCACTCCTGTGCGGACCATGGGGCGGTATCCTATCCTTCCTCTGTCGAGAATTTCCTAGACGATATTCGCCTGATCAGCACACAGCTGCCGAAGTTGGCGGTGTGGTTCGCTAGGCAAGAAAGCGACTATCTGCTTTTTGCACGCGAAACTTAGGGGGAAACCCAGGTCCACAACTGATCTGGCATGAACCCGGGGTTTTCGAAGGGAGAAAATTCGCGTGCGAAAAGCGAAAAAGTCGCTTTCTGTCCTGTCTTGGTGAACCAAACCAAGGAAGTGGTTACAAGGTTTCCGTTAGTCAAGAGGTGCATGTGTAGATAGAGAATCATACATTGTACTGTAGTGAGACTGTCTTTCTAAAGAAATGAAGGAAGAAGATATCCTGCCATAGTATGCCATTGTTCGTGACCAATTCGTCGTTTTCTAGGCTCCATCTGTTGATGCTTTCCATTCGAGATTTTCTTACTTGATGAACGACATTTATGGTGCACGGTGGGATAGCAGGGTTTCTTTTTTGATGAAAAGCACTGCGAAAAAATCCTAATTTTTTAGGATTTTCATATAAATGTATACCCACAGTATGTGTAAAATCCCCGGGTCTCAAGCGTTCGCAAAAATTATTTTCCGGGTAAAATGGAACTATAGGTGGGTATAAGACAAAGAACGGCAGTCATGCAAATAGGCATGGTAGGATGGGGTGTTATGTGGTAATCTTCCTAGTTTTCCGGGAGGCATTACCAACTTTTCATACTTCGGCTCGTGAGAAGGGTCGTTTCGTGAACTTTGGCCGCTGGAGGGAGGGGGGTCGCATTCGAAACATTCCCCGTCGCCTCCGCTTGACCCTGTTTTAAGATCCCAATCACCACAATGTGTGCTCCGCTCGCAGTGCTTCAGAGCTCTCATAAAACTTTATTTTTCTAGAAAAAAAATGAGACAATCACCGATTTACGACTATTTGTTGTTACCTACACGTAATTACTCCAAACCTCTACCCGCTAACACAACAAAAGCAACGGCGCACGAAACTAATACGCTACACAAATGATGAACGAAATGGGATTGTGTCAGGGTAAAGACGAAGGTAAGTGGTAGGCAGCCTTAGGCTGGATTACGGAAGTTTGTTCCGGCGTAGACTGCGTCTTTGCCAAGTTCTTCTTCGATACGAAGCAGTTGGTTGTACTTAGCTAGACGCTCAGAGCGACAGGGAGCTCCAGTCTTGATCTGTAACAAGTAGGTCATTTGTTGCAACATAATAGGCCCCAGTTGCACCAGCCATCTTCACTGACGACAGCGACAAATGCTACAACAAAATCCTCCTTTATAATGCGCAATAGATAGTAAGAAATTTGTTCAGAAATTAGAACATACAAAACCATACCTGTCCAGTAGCAAGACCGACGACGAGATCGGCGATGAAGGTATCCTCAGTTTCCCCAGATCGGTGAGAGACCATCACACCCCAACCATTTGAGCGAGACAGTTTGGCAGCTTCAATCGATTCAGTGACTGAGCCGATTTGGTTGACCTATAATGGGCATATTTCACACAACATTAATTACACAAGATGTGGAATCAAAGAACCTTCAGCAGCAGACAGTTGCAACTCTTCTTGTCAATAGCTTGGCGGATACGTTTTGGATTTGTGACAGTCAGGTCATCACCTACGAGCTGAATGTCAGTGGATGCCTGCAAAAATACGCTTATGTTAAACATTCCTGAGGTAAAAACATTACCAAGTAAACTTAAGTAGCAACATTACCTTAAGCTTGCCCCAGTTGTCCCAGTCATCCTGATCGAAGGCATCCTCGATTGAAACAACAGGGTACTCCTTGATAAAGGTTTGATAGAGCGCAGCAAGTTGATCTCCGGTGAGCCACTGAAGGATAATCGGTAAAAGTTAACCAATGATTATGACGACATTTCATGATTAGAAGCAAAGGAAACAGGGCCCCAAAAGGGTAGACATAGAGGACATCCACTACCTTGCTAGGATCCGACTTAGGATTCTTGAAGTCCAAGTCGTACTTTCCTTCCTTGAAGAATTCGGAGGCGGCGACATCCATACCTATCGAAATCTGAAA